AAAAAAGAAAAACCCACAGCTGATATCATCCTCAGTGGGGAAAAACTGAGAGCTTTCTTTCTACAGTCAGGAACAAGACAGGGATGTCCACTAACTAACCATTGTTAGTTATCATAGTACCGGAAGTCCTAGTCTCAGCAATCAGACAACAAAAAGAAATAAAAGGCATCCAAATTGGCAAGGAAGAAGTCAAACTTTCACTATTTGCAGATGACATCATACTCTATATAGAAAACCTGAAAGACTCCACCAAATAATTGCTAGAACTGATACACAAATTCAGTAAAGTCACAGGATACAAAATCAACATACAGAAATCTGTTGCATTTCTATAAACTAATAATGGAGCAGCAGAAAGAGATATCAAGGAATTGATCCAATTTACAATTGCACCAAAAAACATAAGATACCTAGGAATAAATCTAACCAAAGAGGTAAAAGATCTGTATTCTGAAAACTATAGAACACTTATGAAAGAAATTGAAGAGGACACAAAGAAATGGAAAAACATTCCATGCTCATGGATTGGAAGAACAAACATTGTTAAAATGTCTATACTACCCAAAGCAATCTACACATTTAATGCAATCCTTATCAAAATACCACCAGCATTTTTCACACAGCTAGAACAAACAATCCTAAAATTTGTATGGAATCACAAAAGACCCTGAATAGCCAAAGCAATCCTGAAAAAGCAAAGCAAAGCCGGAGGCATCATGATTCCGGACTTCAAGCTATATTACAAAGCTGTAGTCATCCAGATAGTATGGTACTGGCACAAAAACAGACACATAGTTCAATGGAACAGAATAGAGAGCCCAGAAATGGACCCTCAACTCTATGGTCGACTAATCTTTGACAAAGCAGGAAAGACTATCCATGGAAAAAAGACAATCTCTTCAACAAGTGGTGTCTGGAAAACAGGACAGCAACATGCAAAAGAATGAAACTGGACCACTTTCTTACACCATAAACAAAAATAAATTCAAAATGGGTTAAAAATCTAAGTGTGAGACCTGAAACCATTAAAATCCTAGAGGAGAGCACAGGCAGTAACCTCTTTGACATTGGCTATAGCAATTTCTTTCTAGATACATCTTCTGAGGCAAGGGAAACAAAAGCAAAAATACACTATTGGGACTTCATCAAGTTAAGGAGGGCATGTGATGTGATGAGCACTGGGTGTTATATGCAACTGATAAATTATTGAACACTACATCTGACACCAAAGGTGTACTATAAGTTGGCTAATTGAATTAAAAAAAAAGATAAAAAGCTTTTGCACAGCGAAGGAAACAATCAACAAAACTAAAAGGCGACCTATGAAATGGAAGAAGATATTTGCAAATGACATCTGATAAAAGGTTAGTATCCAAAATCTATAAAGAAATTATACAACTGAACACCCAAAAAACAAATAATCCAGTTAAAAATGGGCAGAAGACATGAAAAGACATTTTTCCAAAGAAGACATACAGATGACTAACAGACACATGAAAAGATGCTCAACATTACTCATCACCAGGGAAATACAAATAAAAACTGCAATGGTCTATCACCTTATGACAGTTAGAATGGCTAAAATTAACAACACCGGAAACAAAAGGTGCTGGTGAGGATGTGGAGAACAGGGAACCATCTTACACTATTGGTGGGATGCAAATTGCTGCAGCCACACTGGAAAGCAGTATGGAGGTTCCTTAAAAAGTTAAAGATAGAACTACCTTATGACCCAGCAATTGCACTACTAAGTATTTACCCAAAGATACAAAAATACTGAATCAAAGGGAAACATGCACCCAGATGTTTATAGTAGCATTATCAACAATAGCCAAATTATAGAAAGAGCCCAAATGTCCATCGACTGATAAATAGATAAAGCAGTTATAGACAATGGAATATTACTCAGCCATCAAAAAGAATGAAATCTTACCATTTGCAATGACATGGATGGAGCTAGAAAGTATTATGCTAAGTGAACTGAGTCTGTCAGAGAAAAACAAATACCATAAGATTTCACTCATATGTGGACTTTAAGAAACAAAACAAATGAATACAGGGGAAAAAAGAGAGGCAAACCAAGAAACAGACTCTTAACTACAGAGAACAAACTGAGGGTTGCTGGAGGGAAGGTGGGCAGGAGGATGGGCTAAAGAGGTGATGGGGATTAAGGAGGGCACTTGTGATGAGCACTGGGTGTTGTATGGAAGTGATTAGTTGCAGGTGTAGAATTCAATGATCCATCACTTTCATACAACACCCAGTGCTCATCACAACCAAATAAAGTCTATTCTTTTTTTTTAAGATTTTATTTATTTACTTGTCAGAGAGAGAGAGCACAGGCAGGGGGAATGGCAGGCAGAAGGAGAAGCAGGCAGAGGGAGAAGCAGGCTTCACGCTGAGCATGGAGCCTAATGTGGGACTCGATCCCAGGACCCTGGGATCATGACCTGAGCTAAAGGGAGACATTTAACTGACTGAGCCACGCAGGTGCCCAAAAAGTCTATTCTAAAAACCTCCCAAATAAGAAATCTCCAGGCCAAGATGATTTCATTGGAGAATTCTGATCAATGTTTAAAGAATTAATACAAATTATATACAATCTCTTCCAAAAAATGGAAATGGAGGGAACACTTCCCAGTTTATTTTATGAAGTTAATATCATACTTATATAAAAGCCAAAGACAGCATACCAAAAAGAAAACTATATACCAATACCTGTCATGAATACTGATGAAAATTCTTTATAAAATGTTAGCATATGTAGAAAAATAATTATACACAATGGGGTTTATTCCAGAGATGCAAGGTTGGTTCAATATTTTAAAATCTGTCATTATAATCCATCATACATAAAAAGTGAAAATTATATGATCCTATCAATCTATACAGAAAAAAACCCCAAAAAACCCAACACTTATCCATGATAAGAAATAAAACTCTCAGAAAAATTCAAATAGAAGGGAACTTTCTCAATTTGATAAAGAGCATTGTATTAGTTTCCCAGGACCACTGAAACCACAAACTGAGTGGCTTAAAACCAGAAATTTATTGTCTCTAAGCTCTAGAAGCTAGAAGTCTGAAATCAAGGTGTTAGTAGGGCTATGCTC